TGACCCTGCCATGGCAGGGGTGGCACTGGATGAGCTTTAATTCCCTTCCAAACCATTCTGGGATTCTGAGTGCTGATGGAGTGGCCCAGCAGGATGAAATCTGTGGACAATGCTGAAGGCGTGGGACATTTCCTGGAGCAGGGACAGCCCTGTGTCCTCTGCAGGTGGCACCACCCTGGGATTCAGCTGGTTCTTTATGTCTGATAGTGTTTGCTGCAAACTCAAGCATCAGCCTGGGTGTCCTGGCAGATCTTTGTCCCTTTTGTGCTTTGGGCAGGCTAAATTCAAGTTGTCTTGTCCCTTATCTCCCCCTTTTATTACTGGATCTGTCCCTTCACTCCTCCTGCAGCTCAGACCCCTTCCCACATTATCAGAGGTCCCAGCCTCAGGAGTGCTGATTGCTGAGGGCAGATGAAGAGGCCAGAAAACAAATATTGTGATAAAATCTTGATTTTGGTAGCATGAAACAGGAAGAATGAGGGTCAGTGAGGATGGAGTGGTGGCTGCAGGCAGAGGTGGGAGCAGAGCTGGGACACCAAGCCCAAATTCATACCCTGATGACTGTGACATCCATCAGGGTTAAAGACAATCTGTGTCTCATTAATCATCTGATATAAACAGAGGGAGACTCACTGCAACAGAGTGGTGTCACTGGATGAATGGCCTGCAGTTGGAAAATAAACATTTCAAGCTCTGTCTCGGCGTTTATTTTTGCTAAATGCCTTCTCTGCACCCGGGTGTTCTGCTCACAGTGGGGAACTACTGCCCCAAATGCATCCCCAGGAGCAATGCTGGAGCAGGGACCTGGGCTGCTGGGGCAGAGATGCACCTAAGAGAGTGCAGGAAAAATCCTGGAGCAGCCACAGTGGGGAACCACTGCCCAAATCCATCCCCAGGCTGCTGTGTGGAGCAGCCAGAGCAGACTGCCCTGTTGGGGAAGATGAAACAGGAAAGCCTTATCAATATGATTGCGAATATAGAAACTATAAGTGAGATTGAAATGAAAGGAAGTTTTGAGATACCTCAGTTACTGAACAACTGGAAAACACTGGTGTGGCTGGCTGAAGGTAATCCCCTTTTGATGGAACAACACCCTCTGCTTGCAGACAGGCCCAAGGGTCAGAGCAGACCCTGCAGCTTGGCAGAAGGGGCCCAAAGAGGAGTTTTTAGGGTTTAAAATGTAACACAGGATGGTAATGTAGTGATTCTTATAGGCTGTATGGAAATGCTGTAGGATTTGTATCTTGTACTAGATTGGTTAGTGAGAATCAGAATATTCAACATCAAAGATGATTTATTGTATTGTAACGGGAGCTTCGGTCTCTTACCCCCTTTTACTCTCTTATGCTTTTGCTCTTTTACCCCTTTTACTCTCTTACCCTCTCATCCTCTCTCCCCCTCTCTTCTCTCAGGCCTGCTCTGAGCTGTGGCTGCACCTCCCAGCAGGGCCCTTTGCAATAAACCCCAAGTTCCAGCCCTGGCTTCAGAGATCTCTCATCTCTGTCCATCCCCACTGTCCTACCCCCAACGCTCCTACAGTGCCCTGGGTAGTTTCACGCTTTAACTGAGAGCTAGAGGGTTTCTCTCCTGGTATCCCCTGGGTTTTAGCAGGTGGGAGGTGCAGCATGGTTGGGCTTGGGCAGGGTGGCATCCCTGGAATCCCAGCCTGTGGTCAGCTGTGACCCAGGGAAGTGGCACTTGTGTCTCCACTGCTGCATTTCCACAAACCACAGTTGTTTTTTCTTCAAACCTCTCGTTGCAGTTGAGGTTTTTCCCTTCCCACTTCCCTGTGCACAGAACCACCAGGTGCAGTCTGGAATTACCCCAACATGTCTTTATTCTGATTTATTAACCTGGTTATTGTACAGATGATTAGAGACATGTTTGGGGAGATTTTACCACCTCAGAGCAGACATGAAGCTGCTACAGGGCAGTTAATCCTCTATAAATGTGGTTTTAATCATGCCACATTTCACACACAAGAACTGTCCTATTCCCTGTAATGGATAACTGGAAACCTCAGTATAAAAAATTTCATTTCAAGTTATTTTTTTTCCCACAGGCTCATTAACTTCTGCTGCTCAGGAGATATTAACAAAACCACAAGTGCACAGCTCAGCTCCAATATCCAACCCTTCCACATCCCACCAGGATCCCAGCTGGTGCATTTGCTGTACAAGGATCTCCACATGGAGAGGGATTTGCTGAGCCCTGAGCAGGTGAGTGGATTTTGCTGCATCAATGGACCTGTTACCTTATTATTATTATTTTTACCATATCTCAGTGCACCTTGTTCCACCTTTGCTGTGCTGTCTGTTGGGGTTGCAAGAAGCTGGAAATACAACACATCCCCCCTGCTGTGACATCAGGAATAATAAATTCCATTAGAAATGGCATTTTGGGCTTCAGGTTTCTGCTGGTGAGAAGAAAGCTATGCTTGGTAGGAAAATAAATGACATAAACTCTGGCTTTTCCTGTGCTTGCTGACTTGCCATGCCATCCTGCCTGGTTCCCATCCAGCCACTCCCCAGGACCGGCTGCTTACAGGAGAAGACAGGTTGAGAAAAGAAAAAATTTCCACTAAATTAAATTATTCGAGCTGGAAAAATAAACTCTTGGCACAGCCTGAAGCCAGTGCCTGCCTGCTGCCTGCCCAGCTCAGCAGGAGATGCTGCCATGCAGCAGAAGAGCTCCCTGCCATCCCAGCTGTGCCAGGGAAATGCAGATGTGGGGGAGCCCCCAGTATCACTGGCCAGGGGTCTATGTACAGACCACAAATGGGACAGGCTGCTGTGGAAAGTGCCTTGAGCTGTTTTATTTTCCAGCATCAGTCTCATTACATGGTTATGACAAAGGGAAGATGCCACCAGCTCAAATCCCAGGCAGCAGACACAGAACTCAATGTTACAACTCACTTTATAAGCTTCTTGACCAATCACACACAGCAAAAGCACACTGACAGTAGTTCTATCCAACCACCATAAGCGCACATACCTTTGGTTAAACAATACTGGCTTATTTCAAATACAATACCTGCTTGTAAGCCTTAAAACACAATGCACAGAGCTCCATTATTAAGCTTCAACCTTCCTAATATCTTGCTAGATAAACTTTTCTGTAGCTTAGAGAGTTATTCTAGCCAAGCATTAATACACAGATCATTGTTCTATTTGTCTTTGCTTTTCTACAGTTGAAATAATTCTTCTGCTGACCAATCTCATGGCTGCTGCTTAGCTCTAATCACAGTTCTGCTGCCTCTGGGGCCTGCCTTTTGCAGCTTCCCCAAAACCCTCTGATTTTGTGGATTCCCACACCCAGCACCCTGTGGCCCTGTCCCCAGAGTGCCACTCCCTCCAGTGTCCCCAGGGCTGGCTGGCAGGGAGGGGACAAGCAGCCCCCTTTGCCCTGGCACTGCTGGGAGCCCTGGCTGCCCCCCCTGTGTGGCTCTGTTGTGTCTGGGGCTCCACACTGGGGGATTTTGTCCCCATCCCTGCCCTGCCCTTCTCCCCCAGCCCCCGGGCAGGGAGGACAAGGGGACATTCTTTGGAGAACACTGGGGGATCTCAGAGCAGGGCAGCCAGCCCACACTGCCCTCCACACCTGGGTCACGCTGGGCTCTGGCATTTTTGGGACCGTCTGGGCACCACAATGAGCTGAGCAGGGTGAGGAGATGGGGTCAGGGCTTGGGCAGCCAGGCAGAGGGGACATCCCACAGACCCTGCAAGCAGCACTGCAGGTCTGGAGCAGCCCAGGGAGCCAAGGCTGAGGGCCTGAGCCATTCCCTGCTGGCTTTGCAGTGTCCCCCTGGCACCCCACATCTGTGGGAGCCCCACAGCCCTACCAGCTGTTTGGTTTGGAATGAGGGAGACGCTGTCTGCAGAGTTTTCCAAAATCCACCTTCTAAACTTCCCCATTCATGGCCTTCATCACACCCAGCAGGTCCCAGCAGGTCAAATATTCTGGTGGCCAGGTGCTGCTTGCATGCCTGGAAGGATGTTGGTGGGTGGGTGGGATGCTGGGTGATGTGACCATGTTCACAGGGGTTCTTGAATGAGGGAAGAGACGAGGATCTGACTCCATGTTTCAGAAGGCTTGATTTATTATTTTATGATATATATTACATTAAAACTATACTAAAATAATAGAAGAAAAGGTTTCATCAGAAGGCTGGCTAAGAATAGAATAGCAATGAATGATAACAAAAGCTGTCTTGGACAGAGAGTCTGAGCCAGCTGACTGTGATTGGCCATTAATTAGAAACAACCACATGAGACCAATCACAGATGCACCTGTTGCATTCCACAGCAGCAGATAACCATTGTTTACATTTTGTTCTTAAGGCCTCTCAGCTTCTCAGGAGGAAAAGTCCTAAGGAAAGGATTTTTCATAAAGCATGTCTGCGACAAGGTGAGCCCTCCCTTTCCTGCCCCTCTGCCTGGGATCACGGCTGTTTCCACTCTCCCTTCCTGCAGGAGATGAGCTCTGAAAAGCTCCCAGTGGCCACGGCACAGGGTGTGGAGGGCACCAGGAGCCCGGGGAGGATGCAGGGGCTGCAGGGTGAGTGAGGATGCCCACGAGTTGCTGTGGAAATGTGGAAAGAAAAGAGTGAAAAGCCATTTAGCCCAGCCAAGGATGGAGTGCTCTCCATCCATGCAGACCTTTTCTTCATGACATATTTACTGTTTAAAAGTTAAAATGTGAATTTTGCACAGCTCAAATCCCAGCAAGACCAAGATCTGAAGAAGGGGGGAAGCAGAGTGGAGCAGGGCTGGGTGGGTTTATGTCCCCCTGGCTTTGGGCTAGGGCTGGGCTCTGTGTAGGGAAGAAGGTGAGACCCCATCTGTGGGAGAAACAAGACTTGGCCCTCCTGGGTCAGGCTCAGGAGGGCCAAAAGCAGCTGCTGTGCAAAACCTCTGGGATTTTTTCCCTTTTATCCCATCACTAAAACCTCACCTCTGGAGTTTTTCCCACCAACCTTCCTCTGCACAAGCAGGAACTTCCCTGAGGGTGGCCAAATTTCCACCACGGCTTTCCAGGGGATTCCTCCCCCATTCCTGCTCAGCTCTCTCCCTGCCTGTGCAGCTGTGGAGCAGGGATGGTGCAGGGCCAGCTCTCCCCACGGGTTTGCAATAAAGCTGTCGGCAGCGGCGGGGCTGGGGATGCGATTTGGGAGGCAGAGCTTCCCTCCATCCCTCCATCACCGCCTGACGGGGGCCAGGGACAGAGCTGGCACTGCTCCCACCTGAGGAGCGGCCAGAGCGAGCCAAGATGTCTGGTGAGGAGGAAGAGGCTGTCTGTGAGCACCGAGGGGAGCCCTGCACAGACCCTCTGCCCCATGCAGCTTCCCAAAGGCATTCCCAGAGCCAGGAGCAGGCAGACACGTGTCTGGATCTCCAGAAAAAAGAGAAACCCTAACCCAAAGCTTAACCATAAACCTAATCCTGACCCTAACCCACACCCAAAGTCTAACCCTAACTCCAACACTAAACCTAATCCCACAGCTAGGAGAATGTAGAAAATTCTCTGGACCGCCATTAGAAAGAGAAAGCCTAATCCTAAACCTACACTGAACACTACTCATAATCCTAACATACAACCTAACCCTAACCCTATGCTGAACCCTACTCATAATCCTAAAACACAACCTAACCCAAAGTCCAACCCTAAAACTCAAATTAGTACTAACCCTAATCCTAATTCTAACCCAAATCCTAATCCTAATTCTAATCACAAACCTAAACAAAATCCGAAATGTAAACCTAACCATAATCCTAACCCTAACGGTAAACCTCACCCTAACCCTAAATCTAACCCTAACGCTAATCCTAACCTTAGAACTATACCTAATCCTAACCCTAATCCTAATGGTAATTTAACACTAATACCAATCCTAATCCTGAGCCTAACCCTAACACCAACCCTAACCTTAAACCTATATCTAATCCTGACCCTAATGCTAACTCTAACCCTAATACTAATCCTGACCTCAACCCTAACTCCAACCCTAATCCTAACACTAACCCTAACCCTAAACCTAACCCCAACCCAAATCCTAACCCTATCCTAATCTTAACCCAAACCCTAATCCTAACCCTAAACCCTAAGGACCATCAGCCCTGCACGTGCCAGGGACATTTTTGCCCCTTCCCAACGTGTCCTTGCACTGTGCATGGGGAAACTGAGGCAGGGGGTTCCCAGAGGGGATGCTCCACAACCCCTCAGTCTCAGCAGCAGAACCCCTCAGTCCCACAGAATGTGCTGAGGAAATGAGGAATTTCCATCCTGCCAAAAATTCAAACGTTTCAGACTGTGTGGGACTCGTCTTTAAATAGAGAAGTTTGGAATTTCACCTACAGAGGAGAAATTTCCTCTTGTCTTTACAAGTAAAACTGAATACAGGAGAGGAATAAGGCACAGCACAAGGGCTGACCCTCCCCAAGCACCACACTCAGAACCCTGCAGAAGTGTTCTCTGAAGAGGTTTTCATCAAACCAAAATGTGCCTGCAAAATTCTGTCTGCTAAAACTCAGTTCAGCTGGAAAAACACTGTCTAGCTTTTCCCCTTGAAGTTATCTCCCTAGACCTCATACAAAGCCCTTATTTTTTCACTCCTTTCTGAGATGGTCTCCACTTCTCCATCTCAAGGTGCCCACAAATCATTATTTTATTCTCTTTTTTTTCATTCCTTAAATTTCCTTCCTTGTAAAAAAATTATTTAATTTCCTTCTCTTTTTAATTTCATTACAATTGCCTCTGTTCCTGCTGTGGGTTTGATTCACTCTCAGATGTCCCTGAGCTTCTCAGTGAGTTTCAGAACCAGAAACATGTTTTCAGAAAGGAATTTTTGTATTTGGCACTGGAGATGCTGCTGAAATTATTCACCACATGAAATAAAGCAGTCATGAGGTATCTCTGAAAATTCAAAGAGAGGGAAAAATGGGATAGGGATGGGATAGGGATGGGATAGGGATGGGATGGGATGATTGGTGATGCTCTCAGCCCACAATACTCCTGGGAAGCTTTCAAGGCCTGGAGACAGTTGTGTGCATGGAAGCAGCTCCTGCCTCATGCCCTGGCATGTCCTGGGAAATTAGGATGTTAATCTGGACCTTTCTGCTTCAGTCCTTGTCTCTCAGGCACACGGTGGGATTTTTGGAGTTGTCCTGTGCAGGGCCAGGGTTTGAGCTGGATGATCCTTGTGGGTCCCTTCCAGCTGAGC